CAAAAAAAACTACGATGCGGCACCACACCGCCACCGCATCGCCGCCCCAAACACACCTTAAAACTCTTATCAGGATATCAATTAGTCCGAGACTTCTTAGTTGCAATACAGTGAAAATGGCAGTATTAATGAAAAAATATTTGAAGTCATTCCACAGTCATCATTATTTGAAGTAGTTGCAAGTCCTATCGAAATTGATTTATAATGATGACACCGCTCCACAATTTTGTTTGTTCGGGTAAATAGCGCCATCGGAAGGCCAGAACACGGTTAAATAGTAGTTGCAAGTAACATCCTTTTTGCCATCTACCATCCTTGTTAGACACCGCTCCACAATTTTGTTTGTTCGGGTAAATAGCGTTTTGACATCATTTTAAAAAAACTACCATTGAAAACGCATATTCCCATCACTCCTGTCTCGGTACAGTGACAACTTTCTACTATTGATCTGATATGTGTCTTTTTTATATATATATATATATATATATATATATATATATTGTAATAATTATCACAACTTTTTGAGCATCAGACTATTATTCAACAGCTTAACAACTACTTTTTAATAAGCTGCAATTGCCCCAAACTGACCCTAAGTATGATAAAAAATACTATAAAGTAAGAAAATGGATATTCTATATATTATCTATGAATAACTTTCTAATTTGTGACTGTTAAATTTTATATACAAATTTAGCCCACAAACCCTATTTTTTATCATGCGTACTAGTTATGTTTAGTAGCTCACCGAGTTATTGTTGCTCTCGCATTCTATATCTATGAGTGTTATTTCAATAAGGAGAAATTATTGAGGTAATGATCTTGTCCACACACACACACACACACACACACACACACACACACACACACACACATATATATATATACATATTTTTTTTTTCTTTTTTTTTAGAAAGCCCAAAGGCTAATGTATTAAATAGAAAGAATGATACAGATAGATTGTGTGGGAGGACCCAAATATATCACCCTGCCCATATAAAAATCACAAATAGTTCCAAAAAAAGAAAATACAGAAAAATACATGAGAGGCCTAAAGAAAAAACCAAAAAGTGTCAAAATACGTAGTATCGTGTAGCTAGAGAGCGACCCAATTTTACTTTGCCTCTGTCTCTAGTTCTAGGGAATGAGTCAACTAATAAATTGGTAAGATAAGTGTCATTGGCAGTAGTAACCAATGTATCATCCGATAAGTTCCCGAGCTCGAGTCGGACTCCATTCTTCTTCTTTCTCCTAGAATAGACCTGTCATTCCTCATCCAAAGATTGGCTCACCTGATCAGTGGAATGGTTTAAAATGTGTCGGACATGTGTAGGTTGTTGAACATTAGAAGCAACTACTTGTTGTGCTAGCTAATCTTTTTTTGGATCAAATGAACTCTCGTGTGTCTTGGCATGTAAGTGAATATTCTTAAATAGCAGTGGGTGGTATAAGCATGTTTGGATCTGTACTTGTAGTATGGTGTTCTCCATCAAAAACTTCAGTGTTGGAAAGAGGATCGGGTTGCACCTTCTCAACAAGGATGGTAGATGGCTAATCTTTAGCGATATCTGGCCTTAGATGAGAAAGCAAGCGATAGCAAATAGTATAACAGTGGTCAAATATACTACAATGAGAGCAATAAGGAGGATATGGTTCTTTTTCAACATTTTGTCAATACCTGTTGAGAGTGGTTCCAATTTATATCTCATCCGGAGCGAGTTGAGTGATATCTCTCTCAACTAACACACAAGCCACAAAGTATCTGGTGACAGCAAACGTAGGATTATCAACCTTGAGAGACTTACAGTAAGCAGTTGCTAAGTAAAGAATTTCTAAGTTGAACAGATGTAATTATAACTCCGGAAACTTTATTCAAACAGGAATAATAGGGGACTCCGCTTTTTGATCAAAATCGACTGTTTGCTTTAGAATTTTCATAAAACGATTGTCGATGTTGATATTTTTTTGAGAAAAAATGCGAGTGTAATTGGCATCGTGAGATAACCGAATAAGTATATGTCAACCGTCAAGTAAATCAATATTCCAGCCACTCAATAGCTTCATAGCATCAAAATCTTTCTGAATGATCTCAATTTTTGGGTAACCATAAAAGAAATTTCCCCAATAAAGCAAAACGTCAAGAAGACGTGAGAATATTAGTTTCAACCTCTGTGAGAATAAGAGCAGGCTTCCCATTTTTTTTATCAAGATTTTTAATGAAAGTGTGATCACCACCACTTTCAAGAGCCTCGTGGAAAGATTGTGAAACATTGCAGGACTTGTCAATACGAAAACCATGCTATGAACCTGAAGGAGGAGAACGAATAGGAATAGGAAAGTCGTCGGCAAGTGCAGTAGCGAATGAACAGATCATCGATGTCATCTCCAGAGCAGCTAAGCAAGCCGCTAGAAAAAAGCCAGACTTCGAAGGAAATGTCTGTCGGCCAGGGCTACAGAGGCGTTGTCGAGTACGAGAGAGACGACGTTAGCCTTATAGTTAAAGTGGAGAGTTAATTAGAGGGATTGAGATGGTTTTGGGGGAATTGGGGTGAGGTGCCACCTTGAATGGTGGATGTGGTTCGGATGGTTGTTTTGACTCATGTAGCATGTCTTGATTAATTGGACATCCCTTGACGTATAAAAGTGTATTTAAAATGTTATCTTCCATTGGACTTTGTTCACTTACATTGTATATCACCGTGTGGGGTCAATTTCCATGGCATTGTGCGCTTTAGAAAGCCACCTTTGTATGGCACATGAAATAACATACACTAAAACCAACTCTCTTCACATGATTCCTTGACTACTAGTAAGGTTCAACATTACAATCATGATAAAAAAATTAAGCTACATAATATCTCACACCAGACAGAGATACATAAATTAATAAAAAACAACATAAACAACTATTTGGAGATCCTCATGATGTGCTACACCACTACAAGCATAATATCAATGTGATTTTGTTTGGTAATACCCAATTCCATGCCTTCAGTGGTTGATGAAGAAGGAACGGTTGTTATTTTATCCAACCAAACAATGCAGATGATGAGATTGATCTAAATAGCTTTAAATCAATTGAAATGATGGTAATGTTGCAGGTATATTATCATTGACTCGTACTTTGCTTCCTTCTATCCAATGTTGTGTCTCAATTGGTTAGAAAAGTTTTAATGGATTGACTTCTTATCTGTTTGAATAGTGTTGATGATGGGATTGGTTACATCAATTTTGACTCGCTTAAATTGATGGTGATGTTACATATATGTTACCATGGACTCAAACATTGTTTGTTACAATCCCATGACATGCCTCAAGCGGTTGGTAAAGTGGGAACAGTTATCATTTTATCTAGCTAAATAATGTCGACGATGGGATTAGTCACAAAAGCTTCTACCTAATTGTCATGATGCCAACTTTATTTGTATGTCATTAATTAAATTTTGTTTGCTAATGTTTAATGTCATGCCTAAGGCAGTTGATAAAGTAGCTATGGTTGTCATTTTCTCCTTTATATACAAAATGTATTCCTTCTAACCAAAGTATGAGTTACAAAACTTTATTTTCTAGACCATTTAGGATAAGTATCATAGAAAGTAGTGAAGAGAACTAGCACAATGTTAGAGGACCTCATAGAACTTGATTTTTTATGTACCCTCGATGTTGCAAGAAATAGTTTTGATGTAAGATTATAAACCATGCCCACGTACGATGGAGTAAATCCTGATTGTCGATGTGTTAATGACATACATGGAAACCAATCAAAGCATATTAATGCTTTTGCATGGTAGCACAAACATTCATTAATTTGATGGAATTAATAGTGCTTAGGGGTTTATTTCAGACACTCGGAATATATTTGCTAGTATAGGAATATTCATTCTGGCCATTGGCCATGGGCATGCTATCCCTAAAATAAATATCCAGATAAGAAAAAGTTCACTAGTTTCAAATTTTAAGGTAGCAATGCCATTTGATGGATAGTTTGCTTTATTGGCTCGTGTTAGTAATGATCTATCACGAACATAAAAGTACTCTGATGAGTGATTAATGAAGATTCTTTCTCCAAAGTAAAATAATTGTTTCCCTCTTATTTTATTAATTACTATATTAGTCACAATGAGCTTTTAATTAAAATATTTTATTGTTTCCTCTAAATAGGCAATCATGAGCTACTTTATGAATCTTTTAAAAGTTCATCATTACACTCTTCGTGAATCAAGTATGCAAAAGCAATGCAAGATCACATAGGAATTATTCAATCACTGTCATGAAAAACTCCACTATGTGAAAGAGCAAAACATTGGCATATTGAAAGAGCACTTTCACGATAAAAGAGAGAAAACACTTTACTTATAGAGAGAAGTATGGCAAAGTAGTTGCATGTCATACTCTATAATTATAACAAGCATTACAACATGAATTAGATCTACTTTAATATGATAAGATTTGAGATGCAATATGATTTTAATTTAGAAAGGGTGCCAGAGATTAGGACCTTGAATTAATATGTTTTAGCTTAGGGAATGACTGCTAGGGTAGGGGTTAAAATCAAGCATTACAATGGAATTTTGAGAAATTCAGATAAGTCAATTACACCATGCTTAATATTATTTGTATTACTAATAAAGATATATATATTTTAACATAAACTATAGGAACGTGGCATCACTATAAAAATACACTACAATCAAATAATTAATTTACTTGCTTTTCATTTTCTATTAATTGAATATTGTTGCATTAATAACATCAATTAAACAACCACACCCGTGACATGGATGCTTACGATCCACTCAAGTAAGAGTGTGTAATTTACACTGTAATTATCGAGAAATGAGTATTTTTATGTTATATATCTACTTTCTAATACCATTCATGTATTTAGTTAGCAAAGCCTAGCTCTTGTTTTTTCTGCGTTAAGTTCTCACACTGGTATGAGACAGTATGAGGTATTCATCAACCAAAACCATATGTGTTAAAGTACATGGGAGGAGTACCAGAGGCGTGTGAGTGGATTTTCTGATGCAACTAATATAGTTGTTCCAAGCTTTAAAAATGGTGTGGTCATCCTGCAATCTTATTGAATGGAAGCAATAACTGAGAAGGTTCACTGCAAAGAACACGAGGTACGCCAAGGAAAAGATTATTCATGCATCAAAATTAAGAACAAATATAATATTTGCATGTGTGGTGAGCTTTGTTTTTTAAGTATTTGTGCATGTAAGTGTTTAAATTATTCTATTTTATATAATATCTGACATTCAAATTTTGATCTTGTAAACTATTAGTTTCTATTGCAACATTTCTCATCATTGTAATGCATATGGATATTCTGTAAGTATTTTATCACTTTACTGCTTGAATTAAGCTATACTCAATATATCTGCAGCAATGGCAACATGCACCGAGAACGTTGAGGTTCTGTAAAAATTTTCATTGCTTCATAGTTATAAAAATTCCATCTTACTACTTATACCTAAAGTTGGGCCAGAATTATTACAAAATCATAAAAGAAGTTTCATCAGCCTATCTCAGTATATATTTTCAACCAACCGCATGACTTTATCCCGCTTGCGGCCTAATCTCACTTAACTTAACCTGAAATATACAATCAAGCTGGCCATAGATCGACATTCACATACCTGCGTACCCCACTGGCCCTTGACGCAGGACTCCACTGAGATCTTGCCGCCTCACCCGCGCATCAGCTCACGGAGCACAACTAACTCGCTCTCCTCGTAGATATAGATACTCAGGGAGAAAGAAGTCCCGTAGCCCCGGTGAGGCCAAGAGAGGAAACTGGAGCGAGGAAAGAGCGTGCCGAACGAAGTTTCGCCGGAAACAGCGGATAAAGGGAGGAAGACGGAATGGCGGCGATGAGGGCCAGGGTGCCGATCTGGTGCACCCGCCCGCAAACAATGTTGTGGTGGGCACCGCACCAGGTGAAGAGTGCGCGACCCCGGCTCAAGCCTCCCATGTCGGAGGCCTGGGAGCACAGCGGGAGCCGAGGGAAAATTGCCGAGTTGCTTGCTGAAAATGACTGGGATTGCGTAGCAAGCAACATATGAAATGTGGCTCTCAAAAATGTCAAAAAGGCAACCAATTTTTTGAGCTATATATATTGGAAAATTTTGTAGCTCTAGGTACGGACTCGTAGTAATATAACGTCATGTATGTTATATCGGGACCACCTAAAAAATATTAAAATAGAACTGCAAATTCCGGTGTAACCCCAAAATAAACTACGCGATTTCACTTTATTAACCCCGAAATAACCTCCCAAAATAACACTGTAGAGATTATTCCGGGGTTATTTTGAGTAATTGAAAAGAAACTCATATATTTCACTTGAATAACCGGGAAAAAACCCCAAAATAACTTTCACAATTTTATTTTATGGTTATTGAACTAGAACCGCGGAGGTTATTTTTGAGTTATTTATGGGTTATTTATGGGTTATTGAAGTGGAGTATAAAGGTTTCTCTTCAATAATCACGAAATAATATTCACGGTTTCACATCAATAACCCAAAATAACATCCAGGATGTACAACGCATGGTAGCATATTATTGGAGTTCGCACGTAGAGCTACGTCAAGAGTGCGAACAAAAAATTTTTCCCTATATATGATGATACACCTTCAATAAATTTTTATCATCCAACATGAATTTTGAGACATCTCATGGATCTCAAGGCAATCTTTGAAGCAATAAACATTCAATATTCGATTAAGAGTCATCCAGGGCTCTGATTTCAACAAACTTACTGTCAAAACTGCTTGATTCGACGAGAAAACCCAATGTTGCCAAAATTGGTCAAGTCTGAACTAAATCAAGCTTCGATCAAGATGTTAAAACATATTGAAAGGTTTTTCGAACACATTTAAAATGTTAAACAGGTTTTGAATCCAAACAGTTCACAGTTGAATTAAATGTACCAGCAAGATGAATCCACAAACCCAATATCACTCAATTCCATTATCGTTACGGAGCTCAAATGTCTATCAAATGTCATCTGGTCGAGGAAAGTCTTTTAAGTCATCCTATCAAAGTGGTTTATATTCCCACATTAATTGCACTTAGAATTCTATAAATTGAGCCTCACCCCCTCCTAAGGGAGAAAGGAGCTGGAGGATTGAGGAAGAACTTGAAACTTTGAGAATGAGCTGAGGTCTAACAACATTGTTGCAGTCGTCGACCACCGCTAATCACTGTCGATCACCATTTGTTGGTCGTTGTCAATTGGTATCAATCGTCATATGTTCCTTGCAACAAGCTCATATGCACGTCGACGTTGTAATTAGGGAAACATTGTAACTCTTTCCAGCCTGCTGGACAATGGTTCTTTGTAATCTTCAGTTTACAGCGGATCTCTTCAACTGGCTCAAGCCCTGTGATTTTTTCCCTTTAAAGGTTTTCCACGTAAAAACTTCTACTGTCACTACTTATTGTTTATCTTTTTATCTAAGTGTGTGTGAATCTTTATGCAACGCTAAGACGGTAATCTATTACTCTACCTCCATGAATCTTCAATCACACATCAATTTGACACTATTTGTGAGAAACTGCAATACACTATTGACTTACTTGAAAGGCTCACTACATGGCCACTAGAAGTAATACTCGCAACAACGGAGCACCTCGCTCCAACGTCCATCATTCCAGAAGGAATTCACAGAGTCAAGGGCGTCAAGCTTATACATCCCTCACTCTAGAAGGCATCATCCCACTGACGAAGGTGCCTCAGGTCCTTCTATGGAAGATCAAGTACGCAAGTTGGAGGTAGCTCAATTGGAGATTCTATAACTCCTATACGGGAAGCGACAATTGCAACCCAATGGAGCTTACTTACCACCAGTTTAGCATTCAACAGGAAATACCAAACTCACTAGGTTCTCTCACAGTGATGAAATCAGTCCCCTGTCAAGATGGATGTCGATCTCATTGACATCACAAGTTCCATTCATATGTCTCATACAGCTCGTTTAACACCACCATGCCTTATTGTCGCTTCTGCTGACATCATTTGTGATGAGTTATGATGCCTGATTATGGAAGGGTTTCCTCCGGATAAAATGGATTGCTTACTCGCTTGCTGCAACTTCCATGAATCCTTCCTTTTGGCTGACACAGTTCTCCGACACCTTATCTGAGCGGGCTTCAAACTCCCAAATATCGATGCATACAAATGGATAACTGACTCATGCGAGCACGTTAACCACTATCTAACTATCATGCACATTCATTATGTTTCTGATGTTCCTCTCTATCAAGTGTTCCGTGGAACTCTCAAGGGTCAAGCTCTCACATGGTTCTGCTTCCTCTCGGACGGAACCATTAAAACCTTCAATGAGCTTGTTAGATTGTTCATATAGTAATTCATATCAAATATAAGGATCATCAAAAGATACATCCCACTAATCAGGAGTTCCTCATAATGAGGGAGATCCCTCGAGGAATATTTCCACATGTTCTCTACTGAAGCACGCCGAATTTCGGGAGTGGATCTAGTGTTATTGAGATGACTCTTTCTTAGAGGGCTCCGCACAGGACCTTTCTATTCATCAATGATGCACGAGACAATTCACACTTATGCTGATCTTATCCATCATGTCAAAGCTCGAATCTCTGCAGATGAGACCATCAGTGAACATAAGGAACAATTCGAGCAATTGAGGGGCAAACACAAAAATAAAACTAAGAATACTGATCAAATCTCACAAAGAAAAAAGTTTGGATATTAAAGTAATCGTGAACCTTGATCAGAAAAAGAATACATATCACTCAACACGCCACGAGTCAACATCCTAATGGCTATCAAGGATGAAAAGGACATCAAGTGGCCAAGGCCATTAAAAAATCTAAATGGTAGAGACTAGTCTCATTAGTGTCATTTCCATTAAGTGAAAGGGCATTCAACAAAAAAAATATTTTAAATTAAAGGACGAAATTGAACGAATGATATGTTAAGGTCGCCTGGGTTAATAATTACAACAACAAGGTGATGGAAAATATAAGAAAATCATCGGGGTTATTGAATGAGAAATACAACTCTAAATTATCTTATTAGAGTAAAAGAAGGACATATAAACTCTTGATTTTATTTTTCATATTATTTAAATAAATTATATTCAGTGAAATTTTGTTAGACTCTCACGAAAGATTTTTTGTGTATAAATTCTCCTTAAGGGCATGCGAAAGATAGGGTCTCTATCCTTATCCCTGAAAGTTTAGCCCAAGAGGCAAGATTTGATGGAAATATACAGTATTCTTAAAAGTTGAGCCCATGAGACAAGACTTGATTGGAAAATCTAGTGTCCCTAGAAGTCAGGCCGAAGAGCTAAGACTCAACATGAAGCTATCATGCCCCTGGAAGTCAAGCTCAAGATGTAAGCCTCGATGGGAAGATATGGTACCCCTATAAGTCGAGCCCAAGAGGCAAGACTTAATAGGAAGCTACCATGCCCCAGGATGTCAAGCCCAATACGCAAAACTCGATGGGATGATACAGTATCCCTTGAAGTCAAGGTTGAGAGACAGGACTCGATGGGAAGCTACCATGCCCCTAGAAGACGAGCCTAAGAGGCAAGTTTCGATGGGAAGTCGGCAGTTGATAGGACGCTTAATAGAAAATCTCCAAGAGAACAAGTGGTTGACATAGTCATTACTCAAATGCTTCAGAATGCTAAGCCTCAGAAGACACTAGTTATCAAAGTCTTCTGAATGCTACAAGCCTGAGAAGACACATGTACATCAAAAATCTCAGAATGCTACAAGTCTCAAAAGACAAGTGTACATCAAATATCTCAAAATCCTACAAGCCTCGGGAGGAACAAGTACATCAAAGACCTCAGAAGGCTGCGAGCCTCAGAAAGCACCTGCGTATTTCAAGCTCCTATAAGCATGAGAGGGCATAAGCCTAAAAAAATACACGTCTAAAAGGATCAAATCTTAGAACGCACTAATTTGAAAATCTACATAATTCTTTTTTATAAAGTGCACTTGATAACATTGATTGCAGAATTCGACACGATTGAGAAGCCTAAACAACTTCAGAAGTAACGTCAAAGACGTACAGACAAACACATCATTATCATGTACAATTGTTATATTATGTAATTAAAATGCAACAATGACCAACATATACTTGTGCAGGGGATATAACAAATCAACTCATATTCGAGTACAGTCAACATCACCTCCCTGAAATTCCAATACTTTTGTTAATCTTAAGAGGATCTTCATATATCACCACCTCAGAAACATGGAAATATTCCCGTCAAAGCGCGGTGGAAAAACTACAACATTTCTTTATCACCTCTAGAATGTGCAAGAGCAACACGAGAATCTCCCTCAGAATGTACGATAGCAGAATGAAAGAAATTCTCATTGCTCGCCTACTATGCAAAATGAAGAAAATGTTCTTTTGCAGCGCAACATGATAGATGATCCAGTTGATCGTCTGCTGTGCATGATGAAGACGACTTTCTCTGCAGTGTAACACAAAAGAAGATCTTGTTGCTCGCCCGGTATGCGCGATGAGGACGACTTTCTCCTACACTGCAATGTGAAAGAAGAATATGTTGCCCGTCTGTTACACAAGATGAGGCTAACATTCTTTTGCAGCACAACACAAAAGAATATATCATTGCTCATCTGCTACGCAGGACAGCAGTGACTTTATCCTGCACCGCAATGTAAAAGAAGATCATGTAGCTCGTCTGCTATGCAGGTCGGGGATGATTTTCTTCTTCTAAGAAATCTCAAATCATCTGCTAGTTAAGAATGGCGATTTCACCTGTAGCCTCATATCCTTTGCCTATAAATAGGCTAAAAAATCACTAATATTTATGCTTAAAATTTAATGCAATCCAATAAAATAATAATTAAAAAAACAAAAATCTACTTTAATTCTCGTGTTCTTCCAGCTTCCGATTTTTTGTCTTCTACTTTTGCACCTTCTTCATTTCAAATTCATAAAAATTAAAAAAAAAAAAAAGAAAATCATGATTTCGCATTTCCCAATTCCGACTTTGTCGTTGTTGTTCCCCATTTTTTGAGAAAAGGAAAA